ACTTTCGACGACGACGTCGAACGGTACTACAGGTCGGCCCGAGGGGTATTAATCATCAGTGAAAAGCATCCCCTGCCATTATCATAATTACAGAATCCAGTCCAGTGATATCAGATTTATCGCGAAGCGCCTCGTAACAAATGATATTTTACCTCGGTCAAAGTCTCCCCGATAATCGCCGTACAATATTCCCAGCCCGAGTATATCACTGAAACGTCCTGTAGAATGAAGTACGGTTAAAGTAAGTGCCTACCGTAGATATCTCACGTTCCCGCATAGGAGGATAACTATTTCGCAAATACAGTCCGCGAGACGAGCCGATCCATTGGCGAACATTATTCCAGCATAGCTGAACATGCGGAGTACATTAATTATATTGGGTCTGTGTTCAAGTAACGGCGCCGATATCCATACGGTTTCGCCTGTACGTGTTACGCAATGCCCAAGAGGGAATAAGTGTACCAGTGATTACTCAAGAATAACATAACAGTCTATCGTAACGCGGTTCGTTGGTACGAGCCTCCAGAGATAAGAGATAACAAATAACAGATAAGGATCGATATCAGGATATCAATATAAATAATCACCTCGACAATGTCTACCCACGAGAGTCTATAGAGCCAAGCTGAACCTGCCATCAATATTTCAATCGGAAAAAATTTCACTCGCAGCATCCCTGTATGGACCGCATCTCCATAGTTACCATTTTCCTTGGTCCGTATTCTTGCCCCTTGACGAAATTCTATGCGCGCCCGACCCCTCCTATGAAAATTTACTCGGTCCCGAAACACCCTCGACCAACCACCAGGGTAAATATTTACTTGACTTTTCGTAGCTACAGTTCGTTTCGGCTGGACCAGTTCGTGGATGCGATATAAGATGCTGGAGTATTTTCAGGATAGTCGGTAGCGAGAAGTGTATGCAGATATATACGGGGATGGAGAAAGAGAAAGGGTAATCCCCAGTGTCACTATAGAGTAAAAGAGAGAGAGAGAGAGGGATATAGGGAATAAAACAGAATTTCTATGTAAGTAAGAGAGATAGAGTATATGAGCCCGCTGTAACCTTCCAGAGAGACACCTGTATCCACAGCAGCGTCAAACTTTATCGCGAGAGATTTAGCGGCGCCATTCCGTTTGAAATTTTGGCAAAGTCGCCAAATACGAAGCGTCTTCTCTACGGCATTACGAAGAGGCGCGTCGAGTTATCCTGGGAGTCAGGTTAGCGGGGTATAGGCCTCTCCCCGTAGCTTCTTATCTTATTGTATTGTTACTGCGGTGCGATGCGGCGTCTTAGAGCAGGTTTCCTCTCTGTTTCTCATGGACGTGTTGGGTATCTCTCTCTCTCTCTGTCTCTCTTACTAACAGTCCTTTCATATGGCTCCGTCTCTGTCTTGCTCATTGTATAGATCGCCCTTAGCATACCCATCGCACGTCGTCCTTTATTCTCTATCTTGGTCTAACTGGCATGAGCGTAGATATTCTCTCTTTCTCTCTTTCTCTCTGTTGGCACTCTTTATTGGCATCCTACTTACTTGTGTATATACATACATATATATATTTAGTAACAGTCGGCTGAGTTGCTGGACCACTCTGTGCAGAGCTGGGCTTTGGACGAGACACCCAGGTACGCGGGGAGAGGGAAAGGGGGGCAGAACCATCTTCATTATGCTAATGCCGCGCAACTACAGCTGACCGTAGCCAAAAATAGATGTAGATATCGTGGGATGCTGAATGCAACCTCTCCGGAGGTGTTTTATTCCTGTTTCCCTCATTCTGCCCATTTTTATTCTTCACTCGTCAAGGATGCTTGCCATGGCTTAAGGTGGGACCATGGTTGACGGATAAAGACGCGTGAATGCGGTTGGCTAAGGCATGACGGAGGTGATTGCCGATTGGAGTATATCGCAATTTTACTTGATCCTCGGGTCAAAGGTCACTTGACATATCTAAGATGTTCTGATTTTACCATTTTTTTTTCTTTCCTCTTTCACCCATATTCCATAGGTAGTTTTGCATTCCGTTCTGGCCACATTTTTTTTACTCGAATTAAACTTCATCTACC